GAATCAACACATTTTTCTTTGTTTTTATTTTCAACAACAGATTTTTCTCTTTCCACTGCCCAAACATGTTTTGTTTTATTTTGACGTTGTAAAACTTTCGAATGTTCGTTCAAATCATTTTCGATTGTGTTTTGATTTAAATAAAAATCCTTCATTCGTCACACTCGCATTGTCTTAGTTCACCAACTTATTCATTTCAGGAGCAACATTATCACCATTCCCTGTGGTAACAAAGACTTTATTTGGATACACATGAAAGGTATCAACTAATCACAATCCACCATGCAACATCTTCTAGAACATTCTTCCATGTCATAAAATCCATGAGTATTAGCAACGCACATGATGGACCACCTTGACCATAGTGGAGCATCATGATGCACAGGTGGCGCATCATGAACACTAATGGCCCAACATTCATCATGGTGGCACAACATGGTGTATTTCTTGAGCATGATCATCTTCTAGGAAAACGTGGATCAACATTGCACAACAAAGGAATCGATATGGCACATCATGTACCAAGATAGTCCATGATGGCGCAACATCTTCTCCATGGTGCAACATCTCCTCAAGATGGCGCAACTTCCTTCCTTTGGCGCAACTTCATACCTTCATGGCGCAACATCTCCTTCTTTTCTTCCTTGTGACGCAACATCTCTTTTGTGTGGCTTAACATCCATTCCTTTGGCGCAACTTCTTCCCCTTTGGCCCAACATCTTCATAGATGGCGCAAGATGCTTCCATTTGGTGCAACATCCCAAGGGATGGCGCAACATCAGTCATCATGGCACAACATGTTGCTCCAAGTTGGTCCAAGTGCTCCAAGTTGTGCCAAGTTTCTCCAAACCACTCTAAGTTGCTCCAAGCCACTGCAAGTTTCTCCAAGTTGCTCCAAATCATCTTTTGTAAGATTTGTTCCTTTTTTACTTGATCCATTCCTTTCTTGGAGGATCTGTTCCTTTGTTACATGCTCCATGAACTCAAAGTGCTCCATTGCGATCTAAGTGCTCCAAATGCTCCATGAGCATAATCCAAATGATCGAGTCACATTTAACTATCTGTATGAACATTCTCAATGCGTATATTTTCTAATTCTAATTCTTGATGAATGAAAATGAATTTCCATTGAATGTATCTAGTATTGTTGGAACAACTTTTAGATCACCAATGAATTTCTTCATCCAATCAACTTCTTGAGATGCCTCAGACGTAGCTATATACTCAGATTTTGTTGCAGAAAGTGCAACCACTTCTTGCTTTGAACTTTTCCAGGAAATGGCTCCTCCATTAAGTGTGACCACGTATCCCAACTGCGATTATGAGTTATATCGATCAATTTTGAAGCTAGCATCCATGTAACATCTTAAAGTAAGCTCTTCCTTAACTCTTCTTTATAGCCATACAATGTTTTTCGCTTGGATTAGGATACGTATCAGTTACACTAATAACATAAGCTACTTCTAGCCATGTATAAGTCATAACATACATAATTGATCCTATTGATGAAGCCTACATTATACGACTCATTCTTTTGATCTCATCTTCAGTACTAGGGTCGTCAGCCTTAGAAATGGTGTCAGGCAGTATGGTACAATTCCTCGTTTTGAGTTATCCATTGAAAAGCATTTTAAGACTTTGTCAATGTATGTGCTATGACTCAATTTGATAACTCTTTGGGAAATATCTCTATAGGTCATAATACCAAGTATTTATGCAACATCCCCTAGATCTTTCATTTGAAAGGAATTACTAAGGTAAGCCTTAGTCTCTTTCAATGTTGGGATATCTTTCCCGATCAGTAATATGTCATCAACATATAGAATTAGAAAAATCATTTGGCTCCAACTTGCCTTGATGTATACACATGGTTCATCGGGAATTTCTGAAAAAACCAAACTTTTTGATATTCTCACCAAAACGATGATACCAGGCCCTAGATGCTTGTTTCAATCCATAAATGGACTTCTTCAATTTGCACACCTTCTTTATGTTATCTGGGTTGACAAAACCTTCAGTTTTTTCTATATAGACATCTTCCTCAAGATATCTATTAAGAAAAGAAGTTTTGACATCCATTTTTCACATCTCATGGTCGTAATATGCAACTATAGCCATGATAATCCTAATAGATTTAATCTTAACGACTATTGAGAAAGTATCTTCATAGTCAACACCTTGAATTTGAGTATACCCTTTGGCGACAAGTTATAATTTGAATTTCTGTATATTTCTGTCCATGTAGATCTTATTCTTGAAGATCCACTTGCTTCTAATAGCTATGCTATTAGGAGGTAAATCAACCACGTCCCATACTTGATTGTCATTCATGGACTAATTTTCAACTCTCATGGCGTCAAGCCATTTTTCAGATTTTGGATCTTTAGTATCTACCTTGAAATTGATGGGCTCACATTGATCCATCAAGAAGACTTCCTCTTCAGGATTCACAAATCCAAATCTTTCAGGTTCCTAACGAGGTCTACTGGAGTGACGTACAGTTGGTTGGTTACCGACATCTGAAAGATAATCTCAAGTTCAACAATGCTTTATTGATTATCATTCTCAACTAAAGGTTGTGTTTCTCGAATTTCTTCAAGATCAATGGGGCTCCCACTTGCTTTATACAAGATAGAGTCATTTTCAGGAAACACTACTTTTAGGGTTATGAACACTTTGTTTTCTTATTTGTTAAATAAGTTTTATTTATGTCCGACTTTGTTTTCTTATTTGTTAAGTTGTACATTGAAGTGTCATTTTTGTATGAACCATTTAAATCGATTTCGTATATTCCATTATTAGGACAAGTTTCAAAATAGAACACATTATCTCTAAACAAAGAGATGTTTCTAGAATAAAAGTCAAACTTATAACGAAAACCTTATTCATACAAACGATAAGCAGAGATAATATTCCTCGCATGAACATGATATGTAGCCTACGTATCCATAATCCAATCCTTATTTCCATGATCATTTAAACGTAGAGTGTTGAACAAATGAGGCAATAAGGTAGGTCGATCGACGATATTGGGTTGTAAACTGTTTAGGCTAGCTAAAGGTGTAGTTGTCTCATAATCCAACATAAATGTAGGCATAAGGATATTGAGGCGGCGGGCCAAGGAAACCAACATTGGGCATGACCCACTGTTGAGTCGAATGTTGCTTGAAATTGGAAACAGAAGAAAGGTGGACCCATGGGGCTCTTTGGGTGGGTTGTGTTGGCCGGTGGTGGGATAAACACATGCACATATTGTGGTTGCAATTGGTTTTGCTATCAGCGGCCAACTACAAGATTATATACACATGCATTATACAATGGGTTGTGGGCCAAATACAAGACTATACCAAGGGCTAAACCACAATACAATAAATATACATATATACTTTAACGCATTAACTTGTATTATCTTTTTAAGACTTATATAAATAGGAAGGAAAAAAAAGACCTTTAATCTTTTAATGACTATTCAAGATTTATAAATAAGAAAAGAAAAAGAAAAAAAAACATACCTTTAATCTTTAGCATTTAAATCACAAGTTTCTCATTTGCTAGATGTTTCCTATTCCTGTATTTTCCCCTCGGTCTCACTACAAGAAATCAAGGTAATTTCGTTAATTAAACAGGTTAAATGTCGTCGCTATTGCCTTTAGCCGTGTCATAAAAGCTTTTGCATTCAACCATTCTACTTTCAATTTCAATTTAATTCTATTACTTACACATCACCCTAAAAATAACAATATACATCCATTTATTTACCACCCTTGTTTCATTTATGAAATTGTACTTTCAATTATTTTTCTTATAAGGAAGATATGAAAATAGGATGATTTTATAAACAAATTAATGAAAGTATTTTGCTATTTCATGCATTTAACCCTGTCAGAATAATACTCCCTCCGTCCCAAAATTATAGTCCATCTTTCCTTTTTGGTTTGTCCCAAAATAATAATCCACTTCTAAAGATAAATAACATTTTTACCAAAATACCCCCTTATTATTACTTAACCAACTAAGCATTTAATGGAACATTAAATGCAAAGTAAGGACAAAACTGTCATTTTATTAAATAAAGTTAGTAGTAATTAATGATTTTCTTTATATGTGTTTTTTGTCGGTGGACAATAATATTGGAACGGAGGGAGTATATAAATTAGAATGTGCAGGTAAAAACTTAAAATTTTTCAAACTCCTGAAAAGTATATTAAATGAAAGTACCTGTCAATTTGCTCTTTTATTTCAGGATCTATCCCATCTCCTATATCACAGTCATCAAACTCATCATCAAGTCCAAATCTATCATTCTCTGAATCTTGCAACTTCAAAAGCTCGTTGATATTGGGTAGACAACGGCTGTTCACCCTATTATCATTATGGCCCACAGAACCAATACCATTTGATTCCTGTAGACATAAAAAAAAACGAAGAACTTGTTCAATCACTTTATAAAGAATAAATTACGGTTAGAAACCTTGGGGCATTGTCTGTAGATGAAGTATTTGAGATAGCGCATACAGGAACATTATTCTTATGTTGCTCCTTTCTTCTTCGCGTTTTTCTTTTTGCTCTTTGCTGTTTTTACTTCCTTTGACTCTGAAGTAATAATGAAAATATCAAAATATAAATGCAATTCAAGATCAGATAATAAAATTGTCATTTTAACAATTAAATCACCTCTAATGCAATATTGGCGACGTCACAAATGCAATGGCGGTGTCACCGCTATTGCCAATCTCGCCGTGCCCCTATTGCACATATTTTTTGTAGTGTTATAGAAAATCGTCTTCATTAATTCTACGTGTTTTAGTTCTCTATATTTCATATATAAAACAAGTAAAACATGTTTGTGATTTTAAGTTGAATAATGTTGGTGAAACAATGTGTACCGCAGTCAACTGAAAAAGTAAAAGTGATAATCGAGTATCATCGAGTTCTTTTCTTCAATTCTAATCACTTAATATAAAAGCAGGTGCACCCTATAACACTTTTCACCATATTTTCTACTTTTGCATTTACTTGAAGTTTAATAAGGAAAAAAAAATATGTGGAGATTGAAGATAGCTGAAGGAGGAAATGATCCGTACCTTTACACCACAAACAACTTTGTCGGAAGGCAAATATGGGAGTTCGATTCAAATCATGGAAACCCAGAAGAGCTAGCCGAGGTTGAACAAGCTCGGACCCATTACTGGAACCACCGGCACCAAGTTAAGCCCAGCAGTGATCTCCTTTGGCGCATGCAGGTCTATGAATTACCAAAATTCAGATCGTCAATAGTAATATTGATAGTATTAAACTGTTAATTTACTAAATATGCTTATAATTAATATGCAGTTTCTAAAAGAGAAACAATTCAAACAGACGATACCCCAAGTCAAAATTGAGGATTCTGAAGAAATCTCATATGAAAAGGCTACAACCGCCTTGCGGAGGTCTGTCAATTTCTTTGCAGCCTTGCAGGCCAGTGATGGTCATTGGCCTGCTGAAAACGCTGGGCCCATGTATTTCATGCAACCCTTGGTCATGTGTTTGTATATCACTGGCCACCTTGACACTGTTTTCCCAGCAGAATACAGAAAAGAAATTCTACGCTATTTATATTGTCATCAGGTATGTAACGAATCTAATCGTAATTTTGTAATTCAAATGGGCTTTCTTTACGATTGAAAATTCTAAAAACTTATCTGGAATTGACAGAATGAAGATGGTGGATGGGGGTTTCACATAGAGGGACATAGCACGATGTTTGGGACAACTTTAAGTTACATTTGCATGCGGCTTTTGGGTGAAGGTCTGGATGGTGGTCTGAATGGTGCATGCACCAAAGCCCGCAAATGGATCTTGGATCATGGCACTGTCACCACTATCCCATCATGGGGCAAAACATGGCTTTCTGTAATACATCAACTTTTTCTTTTATCTTTTTCCTTTGTGTGAGTATATTATATATAATATATTCTTTACTTTATATTTGGGAAAAACTTATAAAATTTTATTTGTTTTTAGATACTTGGTGTGTGCGAGTGGGCAGGAACCAATCCAATGCCCCCGGAGTTCTGGCTCCTTCCTTCTTTACTTCCTATGTATCCAGGTTAATCTACTCGTATTCATGTCTCAAAGTGTGTATTCCAATATCAGGTATCATGATTTGTGTATTTACAAAAATTTGAAATATCTCTCATTTATTAAATTCAGCAAAAATGTGGTGTTATTGTCGGCTGGTATACATGCCAATGTCGTACCTATACGGAAAAAGATTTGTGGGTCCTATTACTCCTTTGATTTTACAACTTAGAGATGAACTTTATGCACAACCTTACAATGAGATCAACTGGAAGAGCATACGGCATTTGTGTGCAAAGGTAAAGTTTCTACTACGGCTAAATGCAAGAAATAGTAATGTACTTTCATTTATTTATGTATTATTGTATCCTACTTTCATTTCTTTCTATTACAACATTTTCTTTAGAAAATCTACCCAATTATAGCATTCTACTTTCAAAAAAAAAATTATGAGTGTAATGGTGCAAATTGTTTTTGTTGTATGTGGGTAGATTTTTCTAAGTACAATGTTGTAATAGGAACAAATAAAATTAGGAAGCTATAATAAACAAATCAATGATAATACATTGCTATTTCTTGCGTTTAACCTTTTTCACTCATTATAACATTTTGCTTGCATAACGCTTACCCAAATTTCTAATTATATGCCTATCCTACTTATAATTTCAGGAAGATTTATACTATCCTCATCCATTACTACAAGATTTAATGTGGGATAGTTTATATATTTGCACTGAGCCTCTACTAAATCGTTGGCCATTTAATAAATTGCGCCAGAAAGCACTTGATACAACAATGAAGCATATCCATTATGAAGATGAGAACAGTCGATATATCACAATTGGTTCGGTGGAAAAGGTATACCTCATACATACACAATAAGGATATAAGTACAAGGGTTAAGCGCATGAAAAGGAAACGTATTTTTATTGATTTGTGTATATCACATCATACTTCCATTGCCCGTTACAACATTGTACCTTAAAAAATCTACCCATATATAGCCATGTCATAGAAAGATAAAGCAACACTATGATATTTTGGTAGATTTTTCAAAGTATAATATCTTAATAAGAAAAGGATACTAAAAGTACAATGCTATAACTACATAGATTTTATTGAACTACAATGCTTTAGGGGGCAATTAGGATTGCTTATTTGAAGTGTTTCATGACTTATTACAGTTTATCACCGCTAATAAACTACTTACCTCATCTTTACTTATTTAAAAGCATATATATATATATATATATATATATATATATATAATGTTATTAATATTATTTTTTGTCAAACGTATTATTATATAGTTAGATTTAGCATGTTGCAGCTAGCTGATAAGTTTGTCTATTTTTCGAGCCTTTTTATGTCGTCATGTTTTGTAAGCCAAAAAATAGCTTATAGGCTATCTTTTTGAAAAGCTACTTAGACTATTTTTTAGGATTTTTTTTTTAATTTCCAAATATACCTTAATTAATTATAAGAAACATATTTTTCTAAATGTCACTTTATGTCACTTTGTATATTACAACTATCTTATCAGCTACTTTTCACAAAATGCTAGTTTTTTAACTATCAACTAGTTTTTCAGCTAGTAGTTAACTTTTCAGCTAGTACTCCAAACATAGTCTAAGTGATAAAAAAATAATTATTTGTTGAAAAATCAATAATATGTAAAATGTCATTTTACATGTATAAGCAAAATTTGCTAAAAACTAAAATATAACTTAACTTATTATGTTTTTGTACCAGAGAAACTAATTCAAACACTCTTTAAAGCTGTGTTTTTTACACCGGATAAAGCTAATAAACATTGTTACAAAAAAAACCATAGGTTGTACAGTGTTAGTATACAAAGAAATGAAAGTAGAATGTTATAATACATAAATAAATAAGAGTACATTAATCTTACATTAGCCTTAAGTACAAAGCAGGAATGAGAAAACCAAGTATTGAAATATTTCACTTTTGTACAAGGCACTGTGTATGCTGGCATGTTGGGTTGAAGATCCAAATGGAATTTGTTTCAAAAAGCATCTTGCTCGAATCCCTGATTATATTTGGGTTGCTGAAGATGGAATGAAAATGCAGGTCATACAAAAATCCAACATAAAAAAGCATAATTTTTGTAATTCTAAACGCTCAATGTTTATACTTATTAATTGCAAGAGTTGATGTTTATAATTTTGAAACAGAGTTTTGGTAGCCAAGAGTGGGATGCTGGTCTTGCCATCCAAGCTTTGTTAGCTGCTGATCTTACAGAAGAAATTGGGCCTACCTTGATGAAAGGACACGAATTTATAAAAGCTTCACAGGTCTAAAAACTCTTGTGTATTTCTTGAGTCATAATCAATTCATTAATCATGATTACTTATTCCTTAACTCCTGTTTAGGTTAAAGACAATCCTTCTGGTGACTTTGAAAGCATGCATAGACATATTTCCAAAGGGTCATGGACTTTTTCAGATCAAGACCATGGATGGCAAGTTTCAGACTGTACTGCTGATGGGTTAAAGGTACGCATGGCTGGTTTTATATGGTTTCCTTATATGTAGTAGTTATGGTCTAATTACTGTTTTGTCCCCAGTGTTGTCTAATATTCTCAACAATGCCACCAGAAATTGTTGGTGAAACAATGAAACCTGAGCAACTATATGATGCTGTCAACATAATACTTTCACTACAGGTCGGTGTATATTTGCTTTAGTTTCCAATTCCTTGGAAACACTTGTAATGTTCAAGATACCATCTATTTTCTAATAGATTTAGAGAAATTATTGATGTGCATTATAAATAGTTTAATTTGATTGTGATCATAATATAGAGCAAAAATGGTGGGCTAGCGGCATGGGAACCAGCAGGATCATCAGAATGGTTGGAGGTATCTAATTCGTAGGGAAAATTTTATTAACATGTCAATCTTTTACTATAGTAGTCCAACATATATTCATTTTGTTTCATTCTAGATTCTCAACCCTACAGAGTTCTTTGCTGACATCGTCATTGAGCACGAGTAAGACTCTTAAAATAAGTTACAATTTATATATCTTCTTTCAATTGCATATATAATTTAGGGTCTCTTTCTTTTCCATTATAGAAGTGTTTTTTCGATGAATAAACAGGAAATAAGTGACACTATAGAATATAAAATATTATTCTCTTTTGACCCAAAAGACAAGATGGTATATCTGTATATATACAAGGATATGAATGAATAGTTATATATCCCATAAAAAAGGAGAATCAAAGTAACCAATAAGAACTACATATATACACGCATAATATATTTACAATGTTTTATGAATAAAGACTATTTTGAAACCTAGTAATTAACTAAAGTAAATGATCAATTTAACCTTGAAGAGACTTACAATATATGTTGACTAGGTATGTTGAGTGCACATCAGCAGCTATCCAAGCACTCGTTTTGTTTAAGAAGTTATACCCTCAACATAGAAGAAAAGAGATAGAAAGTTTCCTTACAAGTGCATGTGGATACTTGGAGAAAATACAGATGCAAGATGGCTCATGGTTTGTTTAATTTTTGTTTTTGTTTCTACTTTTTACATTAAAAAGAAGACTTCTAAAACAATCAAGAACCAATTCTCTTGTCATTTTGTTAACATATGGAACTTTGGGTATTAGGTATGGAAACTGGGGCGTGTGTTTTACATATGGTACTTGGTTTGCTCTTGGAGGACTGACAGCTGTCGGTAAAACTTTTGAAAATTGTTCAGCGATTCGAAAAGCTGTCAAATTTCTTCTGGAAAAGCAGATGGACGATGGTGGTTGGGGAGAAAGCTACAAATCCTGCCCAGAAAAGGTAACACGATGACATAATCACATAACATCAAGCAAGTTGTTTCAAGAATAATAATGATAAAATAAGTCATCTGTGTTACTTACTCTATAAACAGAAATACATACCACTGGAAGGAGGCAGGTCGAACTTGGTACACACTGCATGGGCTATGATGGGACTGATTAAGTCTCGGCAGGTGAAAATCATATTTTAATTCTGAATGTGACTATAGAGTTCTTTCTTTTTTGAAATATGTAACATTTAATTCAATTTTTTTCCAAACATACAGATGGAGAGAGACCCGAAACCCTTGCAAAGAGCAGCTAAGTTGTTGATCAATTCCCAACTGGAAAATGGTGATTTTCCTCAACAGGTAATATTTGTTAATTACAAAAAAAGAAGTCCCATTAAGCAAAATAGAATGAAAGAAACGCAAATACAAGTAATTAATGGTAGCATACTAACGTTTGCGCTTGGTCCCTAAATATATATATTTTTTAATTCGGACTATTTATGTAGTCGTTTATTTTTTCCAGTTTGATCCAGATTAACTTAAAATAACTATATCATCTTCTAAAATATTATTTTGTATTTTTTTTGTGATTATTTTTTTGTTATTTTATTTTATATTTATTTATTTATTTGTTTTTATTTTTTTTATTCCCCTTACCAAAGATATGATGACACCTATCCCCTTCACCATGTGCAACTGCCACCATTTGCCTCTGGAAGCCACCACCCTTTTCTCGGCAAGCACCACTGTTCATCTTCAAATCAAATGAATCTGAACCAAAATCAAAATAAAAAACAAACACAATATTATCAAAATCAAATTAAATCAAAACTTGTAATAAACACCAAACAAAACCAGAAAGGAAAACAAAACATGTGACATGTAACCAAAATTTAAACCAAACCTAAAAATGGTTCCAAAACCACATAAATCATGACAAAACCAATTTATGGTGGTGGTTGAGTTCATTGGAGCCCAAAGCATATCAAGCCCTATTGTTGCAAAAAAGGACTCGTCAATCGATCTTAGAACTTTTATCATCCTTGGAAGAACGATTGATGCAATATGACTTAGATCATAACTTAAAGATTAGTGAAAACACGAGAACTTTTTGTGTGATCTTTTTTTTTCAGAAATTTTTTTTTGGGAGCCTTAGTTGCTAGTTATAAAGAACTTCTGAAAAAAAAAATCATCTATTTCAAAAATATGCATATATGCAAATGTTGACGTGCATATGTGCACATCATAAATTTGCATATATGCATAGTTTTGAAAAACACGTTTTAAAAAAATAAAATAAAATAAGCGAATTAAGCTCTTAACGGTTGGTAAAAAAATTGAAAAAAAAATCAAGAATATGAATTTTGAAAAGTTTTCATAAATAATTATGCAAAGCTGTCCGTTCCTTTTTCCTCCACCACCGATGTTGCCTCCGCCACCAACCAACCCCACCACTACACCTCCGTCATCGGCCGCCACCACCTCCTCCACCACCAAACATCATAATCATATATGATTAATCATTTTGTGAACATACATATATGTATACTCATTTATAATTAGGCATATATGTATAAGCATGTATGGTTATACTTCTCTACCGTATAATCATTTATGATTAGGTCTATGATTATACCTCCCCCACCGCACCGGTACTTTGGAACGATTGAGCGGCATATGAGAAATGTGTTGCTGAGGTTGAATCTCAATGTCTTTATTTAGAATCTCAAAGGAGCTGTTCTCTCTCTCTCTCTCTCT